ATCCTTAGTAGAATAAAGAATTGATTTGAATTGAACATTTTATATATAAAAAATCGCAAAATTAGGTTTCATGGATCGTTCTTATATTTAACGAGCATTTGTAGATACAAATAAAGTTTATATAATTCCAAATAGAAAATATATACAATAAAAATATAATCTTTTTACTGTCTACATATGGTTTTACATATTAAATCGATTAGGTTTCATGGTCTGATTGCCCGAATAAATTCTTTTCAATTAATTAATCTTTTAAGTAAGTTATTGGTTGAGATAAAAAGTCAGTCTCATGAGCGGGATTCGAACCCACGACCTTCGACTAAATAAGCCGCTGCTATACCACTTGAGCTATTGTGATTTCGATCCACTCGGACACCAATTTCCCATCTCAACCCAACATTTTTGAATTTGAAAAATGGCAAAAAAGAGGGAAAATTCAAAAAGGTGGGGTTGAGATGGGAACTTGGTGTCCGAGTGGATCGAAGTCACGATAGCTCAAATGGTAGAGCAGCGGCGTATTTAGCCGAAAGTCCTGGGTTCGACCCGCTCATGACATTAACTTTTTCATTTCAACCGATACCTTACATAAAGTTTAAATTATTGAAAGAAGATAAGAATGTTCCAACTGTTAAAAAAAAGATAATATGTACACTTATGGTTTCTAATACTAAAAAAATTAGTTCCAAAAACTCTTATTTATTGATGTACAGAGAAAAGAGACTGTTAATAGTTAAAAGTTGGATCATTAATTTTGTAATAGTGCACCAAGCACCTAGTAAGACGTTTCAACATAACAAACGGGAAAAACTTTTAAAACATATTAAATCTATTTCGTTGTAGTGGTCAATTAAAAATGGCAAAAAGAGCCCCACCTTATGAGTTTGAGATGGAGAGTTGATGTCCGAGTGAATCGAGGTCACGATAGCTCAGGTGGTAGAGCAGCGGCGTATCTAGCCGAAGGTCGTGGGTTCGAATCCCTCTCGTGCCATTAACTTTTTTTCATCTCAACTAAAAACCTTACTTAATTGTCATGTATTAATTGGTCAAGCGGACCACGAAAGTAGTGAATTAAGTTTTACATATTATTGATATATTACAGAGTATGATTGAACATAATGTGAGAAAAGCTTTTAGATGTTTCTTGTAAGTAAGTTTAGATGTACATGATTTTATAACATTAAACAACAATTATTGTAAAGTTTTATAGATTTAGGGAAAAAATGAATTAAGAAAATAGAAGAAAGACAACAAAAACAAAAAGTATGTTTTTGTACAGACGTTTATATAAATTTGATAGACAAAAGAGGTTAAATAAGGTACAATTAATCCACATAATTAAATTGAAACTTTTTGAGCAACTGAGGGCGTATATTTTCCTCTCTGTGCCGTGCCAGTATTTTCGCTGAGAAAATCATATATTCCGATAACAAAACATAAATTCATGCGTTTTCAATCTATATTTAGATTCCATTAATATTTAGGGCGTCCCATTTTGACCTGTGAACCTACAGTTATTACACCACCTTGGGTCCCATTATGCTAGCCAGGTAGCCTAGACACCTTCTGCTATATATCTCCCACAAAGTCCGGCAGGTAGGCTAAAAGAGATAACCCAGAGGTAATGTCCCGGCTCCGGGTCAACCCCGCTTTAAAGAATTGATGAAATCCTAAAGGGAAAAGATTTCTTGTAAATTGGATTTCCCTTTGTTTTGTTTTAGAAAAAAAATAAAATAACTTTCTTTAACTCGGTCTTGATTCAACATTTTCGACTGTTATTCATTTTTTGTACTTGACCACCGATTTTATACATTAGAGTTAGCATTTGTTTTTCCATTTTTCTCAAATGATGACCGCTTTTTATGTAAAAGGCACGAGAAAAATTAAAAAAATTACATTTCCACATCCAAAATGTAATTGTAATATGTAAACAATGTTTGTAAATCCCAGGCCCTGAAGATGATCTCAATAAAGATCGAAACGTTGGCACGATAAAGAAAATGTTTTTCTGAAACCTACATCACACCAGACCGCATCTCACGATTTCTAAATAAATATCGATTAACGGTCACTAATCACCACACAAAGTGAATAAGATTACTGGTCATACATATGTTATTATATAAATAAAATAATTCATGGAATGATGGAAAATGTATAGTTAATCAATTCAGTAGACGTTTTCTATTATATAAAAAATNTAAAGATCGAAACGTTGGCACGATAAAGAAAATGTTTTTCTGAAACCTACATCACACCAGACCGCATCTCACGATTTCCGAATAATCATCGACTAACGGTCACCACACATTTATCTATTATTTTCATATTAATTTTAATAATGCCAAGTAGAATTGTATGGTCAAAAGAAAACACGATATTCAATTAAAACAGATAAACCTAAACAATAAATATTTTACATAATTTGTAAATATGCACAGATGGATTATTTGCAATATTACTCCACGTTTTAGCAATGTGTATTTATTAGACCCGATAAGGAATTACAAACAAATTTACACATGCACATTATTAAAGAGAAGCTGTACTGTACAAAAGCAAAAACGAAACAGCTATAAACTCGGTTAAATATTACTTCAATATAATTGATCGTTATGTTTAACGACCAAATACGTGTTTACAAAAGGGTGATTAATTGTTAATTTATGTGGTAATAGTAGGTACCAAAAGAAAAACTTGGTGGGGTCACGTGAATACTCTAACGAAACAAATTGCGGACATTTTAATTTGCTTTGGAAATTTGGAACATGTATGGACCAGTAAATATAAGAAGACAGAAAAAGCAAAATAACTCTGAAATATTGATTAAATATTGACTGTTATTCCATCCTATCATTTTAGGGATACATCTTTTGGATTTTTTAATTGTATGCAATTCTATGATTAATAGAATACTATCGTTTTAGTAATCGATTAAGTTCATTATACTACAGAGTTACAAATTGAACAGCAGTCTTTTAAATTATCCATAACTAAATGTGAAGCACTTCTTGTTACAAGAGGGGTAGGATGCAGGAAGGAAAAGGGCCTTGATAACATATTTGTAATATCAGGAGTTATTTAAAGCCAATTGTTATTTAAAGCTAAAAACGGCAAAACATATGCGATAACATTCAGCTGTTAATTACTAAAAACTATGGCTCTAACTTTATAGATTTGAAATTAGATAAAAATTGTTGCAGATCGCAGATGATACAGATATTTAGATGAAGGGTTTTCCCCCTCCCAAGGAATTCCGGTATCTCAAGGGGTCTTATAAGACACTGTTTTAAGCCCCTTATTATTTATTTTCTCTATTCTTTTCCGAGATCTTTTAACTTTGTTCTCTGACTTTGTTGCTATGGTTTTCACTAGAGTTATTGCTTTTAAAGTATTTTAATTACCTGGGCGTTCCGTTTCGTTCTTCAGCTAAATTCTCACAAGCCAGTTTGGGAAAAATAATATAGCGACTCACGAAGCCGAGGGATTATTAAAACTTTGTAAATGCGATAATTGGGATACAATATTCACGTTGTACGACTCTATCTTGAAAAATGTGCTACTGTATAACTTGGATATTTGGGCATCCACAAAATTGTAAAGGCTGAATTTTTAAAAAATAAATCTTTATCTCCCATGGAACACGTTCAACTTGAGGAACTTATAAACTTAACAGTGAACTTAAGTACAATTTATCTATTTTATTCATTTCTGGCCTTATCCTATCTATGTTAAATAAGAGGAGGAAAATAAAAAAAATTTCGTTTCTTTAAACAATTTTTAATCAAGATGAATAATCTGCCTTCAAAGTTCGTACATTCCTTTTACTTTGTACAATTTCAATTTCATTAGCAATGAGGTTTTTTAGTTGAGCTAAAAAAGAGGTGGGATTGTTATGGGAAGTTAGTGCCCGAGTGGATCGAGTTCACGATAGCTGAAGTGGTAGAGCAGCGGCGTATCTAGCCGAAGATAGTGGGTTCGAATCCCACTCGTAACACTGACTTTTTATCTCAACTAAAAACCTTAATTAATTGAACTATATCATTTGGTCAAGAGGACCACGAAACTAGTGAATTCAATATCATGAAAATTTAGACTGATTCCATAATTTCGGATGGCTAACAAAAATATTTGCCGTATTTATTTTAACAGACAGAAAGTTGGGTACAATGTTCCCTTTACGTCGGTCTTAGACTCCTAATGACCTATTACAATTTTTAATTATCTGCCTTGTTTTGACTTCTTTTAAATAAATTAATTAATGAAAATTATATTTAAGTTTTACTGAATTGAAAAACCAAATAATCCTATTTTTATTTTCTATATAGAAGGTTTTAGATTAAAGTGTTTTTTCATAAGTTAACTGTTATTTGAATTATTATTGTATCTTTTCTTTTTTGTTTTATAAATACGGCTAGTCCGTTTTGGACGCATAATTGGAAAAAGCATCAGTTGCAGTTATAATTTATGCAATTTAAATTAAAAATGCCACAGTCGTTAATGAAGTGATGCTAAGGATGGTTTACAAAACATGAAAGTTGATGAAACATATATGTTAGATTTCACTTTTGTGGGCGTCCAGGGCCAAATCTTGCGTTCTTTGTCAAGAATCGGCTCCTGGTTTAGCTTTTGGACGTGACTGGGAACGGTATCCACCTTACGAAATACTCTTGTGCTATTCACCGTTTCCCTTTGTTTACTTTTTCCATTCTTGGTGGCTAAAGGCTTTCGGATTTGGCTTAAAAGAATCAAAACAGCATTGACCAGTAAATATATTTTTATTCAATTGAAAAAAACGTAAAATTTCCATTGTGCTAATTGGTTTCAGTTGCCCTAATTCTAATTTTTATTTTCTTCTTCCAATTTTGTAGTTTATTATTTTCGACTCACATCGTGGTTGGATTTTGCTTTCCACTGCAAATGCATAATTGTGACAATGAACAATAAATTATTCAATTTTGGCAATCGTCTTTATTTTACATTTTATTTAGCCAGAGAATACATTGTGCAGTAAACAATAAAAAAAGAAAATATTTTTAATAATTTCTACATTAATGCACGTCGATAATAATTTTTATAACAAATTGTATTAAATGCATGCGATTTTACATTATTTTAGTAGTATTTTGGCTTCTTTCAATTGAAGAGAGTACAGACTAATGTTCGAACATTATAATTAATATGAGAGGGAAATTATACAATTTTTTCTTTTCTTTTCGGAAATGATTTCTGAAATTAGAATCGCTAATATAATGCAAAAAGTTAATATTTTCCAAAATGTTTTGCATGAAAAAACACCTATATTCATTTTACCTATTAAAGCCAACAGATTCTTCTGAGCTTAAAGAAAAAACTATGTTTTCATCTTATAATAATTAATTATTAAAATTAACAATTATAATACGAAGGTAATCGATAAAAATAGTTTTTGAGTTTAAAATATAAGTTTTCAGATAAATAATTTAAATACATATAACAAGGATAGTTTGAATAAAAATAAAAATATGTTAAGTAATTTCAAAACTTTTGTCTCATCTTTATTATTAAGATTCATATGAGACGAATATAATAAACGTAAGCGTAAAGTATGTTAAAAATCTGGTTTTACATATATACATCTTTTAGCTTTTTAAATAATTATTGGATATGTAAAGTTCATTTCACAAAAAGAGAAACGTCAAAAGAAGCATTTTAAAATTATTTCGTATGTGTGTTCTGTGTGTGGGTGTGTGGTGTGTACATCGTTTTTTCTATACAATTTCAAACCGCGGAGCTAGTTGGAGATGAAGAAACACATCACAATATGGAAACGTCGGAGAAGATAATAATTATCCAATAATAACAATTCGAGACAAACGTTTTTCAGATGTACATAATAACCCTGATAATTTAACATTTCCATAATTCCCCATTATTTGTGACTTTTATAACAGCGATTTTAAAACAACAAATAGTATACTGTGAGAGACTAGCGTCTGAGGTGCTGAAGACAGGGGTAGGTCCGGTGTTTCCGAAGGACGAACTTTGGTCCTGCTCTGTGTCCTTCGGTTAGAGTAGATAGCGTTCGATTGGTTTGTTGGAACGGTGACGTTACAGTACATCTCGTCGCAGCATGAGACGCAAATCTAAAGACAAAAATAGAAGAAAAATTTAGACTAATAAATAAAAATAAAGGAAAGGGTTAAAATCCTGTTATCCTGTGCTAAAATTTGAAACACTCTGATCCAACAAATCTTCTCTCGAAGGTTAATTTAATCTCTGTCCTGTGTAATTTAATATGGTTGATTACTATGACACTTGCTTACACGTCAGATACTTCACACGTGTAAGCGAAGTGTCACGTCCTTTTGGGTATCTAGAAAACAATCGGGACGCAACTTTGTCGAGCCATTCTAAGTTTCTACTCTAAGATATTCGAAATGAAACTATAATATATGTATATTGGAAAAAGGTAATTAAAAAACACACACAAAAAAAAGAAACACTCTTTATGAAGTTTTACGTGGTCACACACACAACGAAATTCAATCAAAATTTGAACTATCAGTCATAAATCAAAATAAGTATTTCCGTAACCTAACACAATACATTACTAGCACAAATAAATAAATGGTGATATTATTTTTGTATTTTAATTATTTAATTAGGAGTACAGATTAAACTAATGTTGAATTTGTGTGGAACGCTTTTTATATTATAATAGTTTCTGTGTTGTTTTCGTTTCTTTATATTTACATTCTTATTATATCTGTTTTTCTATTCTTACAATGTATTTAGGTAATGAAATAGCATGAATACATAATAAACATAACACTACATACAATATAATAAATGTTTCATTAAAAAAATTATTCTGGTGTTTCGTTTTAAATTATTGATAGTTAGTAAATCTTATTACTTTTTAGTAATATATCCAATTTCAATCAATCAATAAAAACAAAAGTAAAAAGGCCAAGAAATTCCTGTTATGCAGAAGGGCTTACCGTCAAACCATTTTACAATACCTTTCCCAAATTAATCTCAAATGAAATTCTAAGGTGTGTGCCAGGATTGGAAACTGGCACACCCCTTAGAATTTCATTTGAGATTAATTTGGGAACCTGGCCTCACTAGCGGTGAACCTGAGTCGAACATCCTAAGCGAGGAAAAGAGAGGAAGAAAGTGATTGAAGGAGAGATTGAAAGAGAAAGAGAGAGAGAGAGAGAGAGAGAGAGAGAGAGAGTGAGAGTGTGTGTGTGTGTGTGTGTGAGTGATAGAGAGAGAGAAAAGTAGATTCAGCGAGAGAGTGGATGAGGGGGTGGAAGAGAAAAAAAGGAAAGGGAGAGAAGTAGATATAGCGAGAGAGTGGATGAGGGGGTGGAAGAGAAAAAAAGGAGAGAGAGAGAGAAGTAGATATAGCGAGAGAGTGGATGAGGGGTGGAAGAGAAAAAAAGGAGAGGGAGAGAAGAAGATATAGCGAGAGAGTGGATGAGGGGGTGGAAGAGAAAAAAAGGAGAGAGAGAATAAGAGAGGGAGTGAGAAAGGAGAGAGAGAAGTAGATATAGCGAGAGAATTGATGATGGGGTGGAAGAGAAAAACAATAGGGGAGAGAGTGAGAGAGAGAGAGAGAGAGAGAGAGAGAGAGAGAGAGAGAGAGAGAGAGAGAGAGAGAGAGAGAGNCCACCCATAAACCAACATACACACACACAATAAAGAAAACTTACTTAATTCGAAACCTAACTCATTGAATATCACGGCAGACCTGCGGAGTGGTCTATATTCATATTTGACATGTTCGAAATGGTCGAGTGGTCTTGTTTTTTGTGTGTCTTTCCTCGGTCCGTACTGTCTAGCCCGCTCCTAACCCGTCCATTGACTCACGCAAATAATTACATTCTTACAAGTAGAAACTTTCAAACCAGCACTATTACTGTGGTGCTTTCTTATTCCGCCACATCGAAAAGATTCATAATTCTGTCAATAGATAAAAATTGGTTTTAATGACACTTTCATTTCTTGGAATTTCATTGTACTTTAATTGTCGGTGTCTTTAATATTTATTTTTTATAAATTTAATACTTTTTTATTAAAACAATATTTTATTACAACTGTAATAAAAAATTTGCTGATTGCAATAAAATAGTGTTTTAATAAAAACATGTAAATGATTCTTAATAACTATCTTGTCAAATTGTTCTTGAAGATTGAGGTTAATGAGAAATGAGAAAGAGAGAGAGAGAGAGAGAGAGAGAGAGAGAGAGAGAGAGAGAGAGAAAGCGTGAGGGAGTGAGGATGAGAGAGAAACTCCCACAACAACTGAAATAGATAAAACGAGAGCGTGGATGAGGGTGTGGAAGAGAAAAAAAAGGAGAGAGATAGAGAGAGAGAGAGAAATAGATAAAGCGAGAGAGTGGTTGAGGGGGTGGAAGAGAAAAATTGGAAGAGAAAAAAGAGAAAAAAGAAATCACAACATTGTAACGGCACAACATAACACATAACACATAACATTGTAATTTACGATGTTGTTTTTTAAACAATCTACTCGAAATTTAAAAGGATAAACGGATGACACAATTGTAGAGGATTCCCCGGCCCCCATTAGAAACATTTAATTTATTGTTAAACATTTCATTTCGTCCCTTCATTATTTCGCTTTAGATTATCAAATAAAAGCGATGTCGTTTGTATGTTAATATCGTCGTTGTGTTGCATTTTGCATTTTTATCAGACAAACGGCTTATTTAATAAAAGGAAAGAGGCTGAGAACAGGGTCTTTGACATCCTCTTTTTGAATAAAATGTTTTAAATTACTTACCGTCTGCGTGTCGACTAACACACAACCTACTCCGAGAGGCCAACATTCGGTCGTGTCGGCACATTTCTTATTAACAACAACGCTAGCACCAGTTGAATCCATTATGTGCAATGTGTGACAGAAATCTTCCCCTGAAAACAAAAGTTGATGAATAAAGATTAAAGAGCGATTTAAAAATAACACGAGTTGAAACAGTAATTCCTCAGTGGGAGGCAAATTAAATACAAATGTGAACTTAAAAAGAAGAAGAAAATTAATTGTATCCTGGGGCTTTGTGCCCGCTTGAATAATATTAACTAACATTTAGCCAAATTAAAAACAAATGGGAGAAAATAACAGAAAATTAATCATCCTAGGTTACTAGGATCTTATGTAACTTCATATTAAATGCAAGTTCTTCGTAATAATGGCGGCCTTCGTTGGCTTCCAGGATTTGACTCGGGAATTCATCATTTCAAATTTTGTTATTTGTCAACTCATTTTTTCCATTAAAAACCCTCAATCCACCCATGGAATACACGTTAGAACTTTTACATACGTTCGCTGAAAGTAGAAAATTAAACCGGATTTTACAAGAAGAGATTTCCTTAAGTAATTAATTTGACCGGAGAACACACCCGTTGCAACGCTATGCGACGCTATCTTATGCTACCCGTCGCAAATCCAGTCCAATTTTCCATAAGGTTGTATACCCCCTTGCACATCTGCCCGATGCCGTGCAACCCTACCCTACCCTACGCTACGCGATCACCACTCTCTAGATTTTCGTCGGGAAGCATCAAGTACAGTCGAAGACAAAAGAACCGGACACTCATATTTTTGTTCAAACCACACGTATTGTTGTCGTTATATTAATTGCAAATACTTATTTTAATATAAACCAAATTGACCGAGATCAAAATTCATTAATTTTTATTTAAAAAAATTAATTTCAATGGTTTGGTAGAAAATTGATTAAAACACCTGAAAACCTTTTTTTGATATAATGAATTTAACTAACAATTTATTACACGGTTTTGCTCATAAAATTTAACTAACAATTTATATCATGGTTTTGCTCATAAAATTAGTCCGTTTTCGTCCAATAGCGTCAGAACAGGACACACATTTTTTTGTAATTTATTTCTAACTATGTATATGTAATTTTGTCGTTATATTAATTACTACATTCTTATTTTAATATAAACCATATTAAACGAGTTCAAAATTCATTAGTTTTTATAAAAATTATTTAATTACGATGTTTAGGCAGAAAATTGATCAAAACACCGGAATAACTTTATTTACAACAATTACATTTAACTAACAATTTATTACACTCTTTTGCTCATAAAATTTAACTAAGAAAATAATACATTAAAAACAAAAGAGCCGTTGCGATTGTGATACTAATTTGTGACACGCGCTGTGGACTGTACGTGGCGTGCGCTTGACGTTGCATAGATGTGCACACCCTACCAAAACTTGGCAAGGCGTCGGGTAGCGTCGCATAGCGTCGCATCGGGTAAGTGTGTTCCCGACTTTAAAATTGTGTTGATATTGTCTTTTATAAATTAAGATTCGTCAATATTATTTTTTACGTTGTTTCTTCGCGTATGCCTTCACAGGACGCCTTTCATTTGGACCATCTGGCTGGACACGAGGAAGGAAAAGAGGAAAAATTTCCTTGTTAGTAATTCTACTCTTCCCCTGCACAGAGACATCCTTATCCTTATTTCGCTTAGAAGTAATTTTATTTTCCTTAACCGTTATCAAGTTTTATTTTCATTTCATACCTTTTCACTGGATTTAATTATTTATTACAATATTTCTTTTTGATTTTAAATTTAATCTCTCTCTCTCTCTCTCTCTCTCTCTCTTTCTCTTTCTCTCTCTCTCTCTCTCTCTCTCTCTCTCTCTCTCTCTCTCTCTCTCTAAATAAATAAATAAAAGTGGTCCTCTGAGTTTCTTTCTTTATTAACTACCGTTCATCACCCATCACCCGCTACCGATCGCTGTCCAGCTGTCATCGGGTAAGAGTGTTCCCCCCCACTTTAGTAGGGTCAGGAGAAAGTTAAAAGACTGAATTTATCGGTGGAAAGGATTGAGACACAGCGGATGTTGTTAGGTAGAGAATTCCAAGTTTATGGGAACGGATAAGGAACGAGCAGACGCTCCTAAAATCGTTGGATTTGTACGAAAGAAGGTAGAGATCAGAATGGGGGGGAATGAATGTTGCGAGTGTGTCCAGAAGACTTAAATGTTAACAGATTGTTTGATAGAGGAAAAAGTTAAGAATTTAGAGCCTAGGTACTGCTATTTCAAATGTCAATACATGTTAGACATGAGATCACTTTGGGGAGCTGAATGTGAACTGAACAATGCAGTTCATGTTTTTCTTAAGTCTGCTAACAAGATCGCAGGTAAGTCCAGAGTACACAGTCTTAATCGAAAATGGGAAACACAAGGGACCAAACCAGGAGTTTGCGGGTACTGATTGGGAAGAGTTGGCTTGCATGACGGAATTGGCGGAGGGTTCGAAAATGTGGGGTTTCAGTATAGGTTTTGATCAAGGATGATCCCAAGGTTTTTGACAGATGGAGAAAAGGATATAGGTTGGTTGTTAATGCAGAGCGGAGGAATAGGGGGTAAGGAGAAGTGAATGGGATCCAAATTTGATGATAGAAGAGAGTTCTTTTTCAATGGCACAGGAGCGGATGGCGTTTAGGTCTTCTTGGATTCATGTGATTGAGATTTGAAGGACGTCAAGTGAAAAGGAGAGTTAGATGTAACTTAAGCAGATTTAACTAAGCAATGTGAACAATGTATGTGCACTGTTGAACGTTTAATTTAATTTTAACCTAATTTACTCTATCTTTGGTTGTTTATTGACTTATATTTAAAGTTGAAGGGTGCACATATTAGATACAAGATACTAACTTGAACATTGCATTTTTCTTAAAAAAAAAATTCTGGATGCATTCATTTAAATTTTGATTTACCTCCCCATCGTGTTAACAAGAAGAAATAGAATTCTTTATTAGTAATTTAGAAAATCCAACAATATAGTGCATTGCAGTTTATTTAGAGCCAATGTTGCTGTATAACTTCTTGTTATGGCATTTCATTTTTATTAATCAACGAAAAAAAAACTGTTGTGTGAGGAAAAGTAATATTAATACTCGAGGCCGTTCTTCCATAATCCATCAAATTAATTGAAATCTTTATAGTTTTAACTGTGCTTTTCATTGTAATGAAAACGTAATTAGAGGGAAAATGGTACAATAGAACGGTTTGACGTCAGAATTAGAGAACAACAGAAGTAGAGTGAGGCCTGTTTGTCAACTTTGCCTGAGTTTTGGTTCGAAATTATTTGTTTTCCTCCCAATTGATTACATAATAATCCTCATTCATTGGTGACAACGTTGTTAATGGTACAGGTTTTTTAGACAAATTTGTTTCTGATACCCAGTAAATGCATTGTTATTAGGTACGGTTAAAAACACCCTCACCTTAAAAATAGATGTGTATCATTTTACTGCTATACACATTTTTTGTTTGATTGTCTGTACAAATGAACGAGAAGAGTTTGGTTTAAAGAAATTACGAAAACAACCACATTAATTTGGTCATTAGGGATCGTTTTGATAACGACTAAATTACAGGTTCATAACCCCTATTTAAGCGTTCAGAGTTTCATGGTAGCATGAGGTCTTTCTTTCCGCACCGAATAAAGAAGCAGCAGGTGCTTCACAGGGATCTATTCTCGGCCCCGTTTTATTTTTTATTTATATCAATTCTATCTCTCTGATTAACCAATGTTCCCTGACACTATGTGCTGATTACCTTGCTTTCAACATCTTTGAGGCAAGGAGCAATTTCCAATGTTCTAATTAGGGAAAAATTGCAAAATAACATGAAAAGTATTATTTAAAACAGTGCTATAATGTTAACAAAGTATGGAGCTTAAATTGTGAAACGAATAAACATCAAATGATGTAAAATAACGTTTTAAGAGTAGCAACTTAAAATTCTCTTCACAAAGATTGAGAGAGTGAGAGGGGAAGGAGAAAGAGAGAGAATAAGGAAAGCGAGAGGGGGGTTGGAGGGAAGGGGAGAGAGAGAGAGAGAGAGGGAAAAGGAAGAGAAAAAGAAAGAGGATGTGAATAAGAAAGAGAGGGTGAGAGAAAAATGGAGAAAGAATGGAGAGAGAAGAAAATAACTTCCTTCAAGTAGATAATATGTAACAATGAGCAAGGCAGTATATACAAATTTAAAAAACAAAAACAAATGGTATTACTCCAATGATACTAATATTATCTATTTAATTCGGCCATTGTCTCTTTAGTCGACGAGTAGGGTTCGAGGGAATTCGTCGGGAGGTTTCAAATGTGCTGATTTACGGTAGTTGGGAGGGTTTTGTGAAATTTGCTGTAACGGGAACGGATTTCATCTTGAATGAAACGGATATACAGGGGTACTGCCAGTAGATTCTACATTCAAATTGAAACCGAAAGGTGCTAATTTTCTGTGGATACACAAGATGCTTAATTTTTAAATTAATAGTTTAAATCGCTGAGGGCCGTATTGCTTTTCTTTTGGCAAGCGATAACGCCTCAGTCTCTCGCTTGCTTGGAACAGCAAGATGCACCGCCAACACCATCGATTATCGAACGTAATGTCGATTCTGTGTCGATGTTCACCATCGATTTTGTCTATCGTCACCCTGTCGTCACATCACTTCCCGGACCGCTACGTCAGATGTATCGCCATCGGCTCTGCAGGCACCTTCTGTCGGCGTAGAACCCAGCAGTAACCTCCATCTCAACACCACTTATTTGGAAAGCGAGTCGTCATCCAGCCAAGTACCTTTTTCATTTCGTCATTTTATTGAATTTTTATTTTTTTAATTTAATTTTTTTTGTAAAACTCTGGCCGGTAATGTTGATTAGGAATAATGAATATAGTTGAAGAAATTTCATTTAATTTTTCTTTGTGTAAATAAAGTGTAAATATTTAATTTTGAATCTTAAGTATTACTAATGTCCATTTTTTCTCAATAACTCAAGTATTTGCCACCTATTAAAAACAAAATTTATATATACAATTTATACCCTTGAAACGGGTACGGAGGTTTGCTTGGTTGGTCAAT